ATTTCAAGAAAACAAAACCAGCAGGCGGAGAAGTGCAATCTACGCCCGAGTTAGTAAGCACCTGGGGGCCCAGAGGAGAGGGTCACAACCTGCTGAGGCGGCCCCGAGAAAGGCGGACTTCCTCGCGCTGAGGAGTCGGGCAGGACATTCTCCGCAGAGGAGCAGACCGCGCTGGAGGGGTGCCCTACGGCAGACAGGACCGTGGCCAGGCTGAATGGGGTGCTGCGTCTCAGCACTTGAGCTCACAGATGTTCCAGCAAACACAAAAGCTTTACAAACTCCGTGAGAGCAGAAAACTCCCATCCCCTCCTACTTAGCTCTCATGGTTTGAATGGGCACCCATTAACCTTCACTTCATTAGAAATTATTTGGTCGCTGGCATTTTATTGTAGCACCAGAAAATGGGCTAAGACATTGTCTTTTGGTTAGGCTAGAGATCAAAGCTAGCATAAGATATGAATATAAAGAGCACACAGACTCGTGGTTTAAACAATCACCAGAAAGACTAAAGAAAGCCCCTGCTGACATGAGTCCCCCCAACCTCTGCTCCTGATCACGAATTATTTACTGAGCACGTCTTATGTTCCAGGCAGTGCACGGACAGCGGGGTCATGACTGTAAACAGGGTCATCTCTTCCCCAGTCCCAACTCTACAGGGATGCCAACACCTATGTTTATTGTCAAACAAATGGTCTCAAGTCGATCTCGCCTCAGCAATTCCTTGGGCTCACTTTACCACTTGGAACTATTTCACTCCTACAACAGGAATTAGACATTCCTACCCAATGGCAACGCCCATTGTTTTTATGACTTCCTCTTGACTATGCCTTCCTAGGACTCCACACGTCCCAGGATCAGGCCGCCCAGACCCCGAGGCCGCCCGTTTCCGTAACTTCTGCAGCAGCTCCCTGGATGCCTTGCAGGTTTCTTTCTTTCTTGCGGCTGCTTCGGTCTTTCTGCCACGCTGATTTAGCCAGCTCCTAATTTTAGGCACTCTCCACCACGTCTGACTCCAGGACTGCAGAGGAGTGGGAGGCACTGACATTCAGAGGGCGCTCTCCAGCTCTGGCTGGGACTTCTTCCCAGCTGATCATCGGGAAAGGATCCCACAGCCTCTTCCCCACAGCACTGATGCCAAGTCTTCATGGTTTCTCCTCCTGCTCTCACTTGGTTGAGAGGAGAGCTGTCCTGTCCTAGTCCTGTGGTTTTCCCAGTCTCTCCTTGCAAACCACATCTTCCAACCTGCCCATGTCCCACACTGATCTCCTGCTTCCTTCTTTTGTCTCAAAGCCTTTTTATTTGTTTACAAACATGGTTCTAGTCTCCATTTCAAGTTACCATCCTCGTTGCCTTCCCTTCAAACCTTGCCAAATCAGCTGCTGAAGCTACTATTCAGCACCTTAAAACAACTGTGTGTACACAGCTAACAGACTGACCAGCTGGATGAATAAATCCTGTACAATGGGACTTCCGCCACTATTACTCTACTGAGACCATCTGCGACCTGAGGACCTCCAAGTCCAATGTCCCCCCATGGACATTCCACTGCTGTCTTCTTGCTTGACACCTTCCCTTTACTGGCTCCTCCGTGACAATGTTTTTGTATCTCCTTCCTTCTTTTTGCCACTTGTTAAATAAAGGCGACTGCTAGCCAAGTTCTATGACTGGTTTTCACTTCCATTCCTTTTGGCCAAGATTATAGCAACACCGATATCAGATTAGTCTTCCAAAGTTCTGCCCTGCCTCTCCTTTGCTCATCAAATAAAAATACATGTTGGCCAGTTCTTTTGTCTGAATGCGCCCCCCCCCCCCCCTTCATGCTGAAACCTGACTCCCTGTGGCATGAAGAGATGGGGCCTCTGGAGTCTGGTTCAGTCGCGAGGGCTCTGCCTGCAGGAATGGCACTAGCATCCCTCACAAGAGATGCAGAGGGAGCTCCTGCCTTGCTCTGCCCCCCCCCCCCCCCCCCCGCAGCCCGAGGATGCAACGAGGTGCCAGCCACAGAGCAGAGAGAGTCCTTATCAGACACCACATCTGCCAGCACCTGCTCTTTAACTTCCGGGCCTTCAGCGCCGTGAGAACTGAGTTTCTATTATTTACAAATGACCTGGTCTAAGGTATTTTGTTACCGCAACCTGAAGGAACCAAAACAGCCAGGCACTTCCGACACGACACACATGTGGTCTGAACACATTTCTCCATTCTTATATCATGCTGTTTCCCTTCATAGAACCTATACTGGAGTCCCACTATATTCTATTTCTATAAGCATTTCACTGTTGTTTCCTGCCCCCTCCACACCCCTCCTCTTAGAAGTCATGCTACGACTGCCAGTAGCTAAACTGAGAAATGATACAAATGGCATAGTTTCAAGTTACCTGCTCCCTGGGAAATGAATAATTCACCAAGCAATGCATAGCGAGCAGAGGGCACTCTAAGGCCCACTGACCCAGTCAAGGGGCTCACTGGTCCAGTCAACCAGTGTCCACTGAGGCCTGATCAGGAAGCAGGCCCTGGTCTCAGCACTTAAGTAACAATGTAAGATCTATGAAGCTGCCATATATATTCCAATGGGATGAAATGACTACCCAAACAATATAAGAACTCCAGATTACGCTAAGTGCCGAGACACAAAGAGCACAATCGAACAGAAGCAGCTGTGAGGGAGTGGACAGCACGTGGTGAACAGTGCTTCCTGAGAGATGAGGCTGCGGCAAGACCTGAAGGCTGAAGGGGAGGGAGTCTCGAGTGGACTGGGTGGGAGCATTCCGTTGAGATGAAGCAGCCAGGGAAAAGCCTCCAGGACAGCACATCCACACGTGACAAGAGAAAAGAAGGCTGGGACATCGGACAGGCAGGAGGACATATAAGGGGAGGCCAGGGTTTGTGTCCTGGCTGCTCCGCTTCGGATCGAGCTCCTTGCTAATGCACCCAGGGAAGCGGCAGAAGATGGCTCTGCACACACATGCTGGTGAGGATGTGGGAAAACGAATCCTTGTGCACCACTGGTGGGAATGTAAAATGATACAGCCACTCTGGAAAACACTGCGGTACTCACTCAAACAATCCAACATAAAGCTCCCGTATGACTCAGCAATCACATTTACAGGTGTCTTTCCCAAAGGAACTGAAAGCATGTTCCCAGAGTTATTTGCACGCCCACACTTACCCATGACAGCCAAAAGGCAGGGGGAACCCACATGCATGTCGAGACGAGCGGGCGAACAAAATGTGCTGTATCCATACAATGGCTTTTTCTTTTCTTTTCTTTTTTTTTTTTTTTTTGATTTATTTATTTATTTGAAAGGTAGAGTTACAGAGAGAGGGGGAGACAGAGATCTTCCATCTGCTGGTTTATTTTCCAAATGGCTACAATGGCTGGAGCTGGGCAAGGCTGAAGCCAGGAGCTTCATGCAGGTCTCCCACATGGGTGACAGGGACCCAAGAACTTGGGCCATCTTCTGCTGCTTTCCCAGGTGCATTAGCAGGGAGCTGGCTAAGAAGACGAGAAGCTGGGACTTGAACTGGTGCCCCTGTGGGATGCTGGCATGGCTGCTGCCCCACAACACCAGTCCCTTACTCAGTTTTAAAAAGGAGGCAAATTCAGACATGTGCTACAACTCGGATGAACCTTGAGGACATCATGCTCAATGAAATATGCCAGTCACAAAAAGCCAATACTGCATGATTTTACTTACACAAGGTATGCAGAGTCAAAGGCACAGAAACAGAGTGGAATTGGCGGCTGTCATGACAGAAGGCAATGGGAACCTGGAGTAGTGTTTTAATGGGTTCAGAGTTTCAGTGTGACAGGATAACAAACCCTGTAACCTAGTAGTGCAATATTCCTAATGCGACTGAGCCCTACCCTTACAAATGGTTAAGACGGTAAGTTTTAGGTTATGTGTATTTTACCACAACTAAAAAATGAAAAGATATATTGAAATGATTGATACTTGCATCTAATCACAAGTTTCCTCAAGTCAGGCACACGGGCCTCTGATGGGTGTGGCTAGGATGGGAGTCCTGGCCTGTCGTCACCGCCCCCGGGTCAGCCCTGCACCCACTTCTGAGAATCACCTGCTTTATGGTGCTTTACTCAGCTGGGGTTTCCTCACACTGCTCTTTCTGTTTCAGCAAAGAGTCTTTAAAAAAAAAGATTTACTTATTTATTTGAAAGAATTAGAGAGGGAGAAAGGTTTTCCATTCACTGGTTCTCTCCCCAAATGGCTGCAGTGGCCGGGGCTGGGCCAGGCCAAAAGCAGGAGCCCAGAGTGTCTTCAGGGTCTCCCACACACTTGGGCCATCCTCCCCTGCTTTCTCAGGCTATTAACGGGGAGGTGCACAGGAAATGGAGCAGCCGAGACTTGAACTGGCACCCACATGGGATGCTAGCGTCACAGGCAGCAGCTTTACCTGCTACACCACAGCGCCAGCCCCCAGCAGTTTTTAAGGCTGAAATCAAAGACACGCCTCTGAGATCTACTCATTTCTCTGGGTCCTCACCAATGTATTTAGTTTACTGAATTTAGGTTTGTTCTTTTATTATGAACCTCTTTTTTCTTAGCAAGTCCCAGGTAAGAACTTCAAGAAGAATGGAAGAGAAAATTACTCTTCCTCCACTACAGGCAAATAAATGAAGACTTCACATTCCCTTCTGAACATTTCTCATTTCTACTTCAGACTGATAAGCAACATGAGCTCACTCTACTTATTCACTGTCCAGTCTGGGAAACAGAATAAAGCATTCTAGTTAAAAGAAAAAAAGTGCTTGCACCATATTTCTCCCGATTTCCATACCACAATTCAATTAAGGTAAAACACACACAAAACCGAGAGAGTGAGATTAAACAAGTGTTTGCCAAAAATAAAAAATAATTCCAATGAATATAAGCAAACCACAGTGTGCACCAGAGGTTGGAGGAGTCTCAACACGGTCGGTGTCACTTCTTGAAATCAGCCAGTGATGCAAATGGACTCAGGAGTGTCAAGGCCCTTACCTGCACGAGTGTGTCCAGTGTGAAGATGTGTTCCCCGCGGACATTGTAGAACTTGACCATGGCACTCTTCAGAAGGGGCCCATTGGGGAGCTCACCCAGCTGGGTCTGCCGCTCCATCCCAGCAACTGCCAGCAGGTCTCCCTGCGTGCACCACTGGGCCACCACCTCTGAAACCAGAGAGAAGATGCCATCAGCTGCTGGCTGGGGGCTGCAGGCTCACCCGGTCCCAGATTTCCATGGTGATCGCTACTTCATTATCAGTCATTAGATACATGTGGTTTTTTAATAGGCACACACAAGTCCACGTGGAACAAGGGAGAAAGAGAAAACAATTAGCAAAATGTGTGATGACAAAAAATAGGAAAACTGTTTTTTTTTGTTTGTTTGTTTTGTTTTTTTTTTGACAGGCAGAGTGGACAGTGAGAGAGAGAGAGACAGAGAGAAAGGTCTTCCTTTTGCCGTTGGTTCACCCTCCAATGGCTGCCTCGGCCGGCGCACTGCAGCCGGCGCACCGCGCTGATCCGATGGCAGGAGCCAGGTGCTTCTCCTGGTTTCCCATGGGGTGTAGGGCCCAAGCACTTGGGCCATCCTCCACTGCACTCCCTGGCCACAGCAGAGAGCTGGCCTGGAAGAGGGGCAACCGGGACAGAATCCGGCGCCCCAACCGGGACGAGAACCCAGTGTGCTGGTGCCGCAGGCAGGTGGAGGATTAGTCTATTGAGCGCGCGGCCAGAAAAATTGTTCTAACAATGTTTTTAGTGAACGCAGCATGTGCCCAGTGAGGACCAAGGTAGCAAATCTGCATGCGGCCCGGCTGAAGCAGTACACGGCATTACCGATGAAAGCTACCCACCCAGCTCCCAGGCTCCCTCCTAGTTTTCTTCAGTGCTCAACGAAAGGGTAAGAGGAAAAACATTCTACCAAACCAGAAGCAATCAAAGGTGCAGGTGTGAGGCTTTTATGTCCAGACAAGCTTGAGATGGAAGAGGAGGAGCCCTGTGGGCTGGCTTCCAGCCCAGAGGATGCACGGATTCACAACCCAACTGCTCTTCCTTAAATGAGTCAGTGGGGCAGGTGTCAGGGAGCAGTGGATTGAGCTGCTGGAGCTGCTGAAGCCTGCATCCCAGATCAGAGTGGCTGGTTCGAGCCCCAGCTCCTCCACTTCAGATGTAGCCTTCTGCTAATGCACCAGGGAGGCGGCTGGTAATGGTGCATGTACTTGGGCTCCTCCCACCTATGTGGGAGACCAGATGGAAGTCCTGGCTCCTGGCTTTGGCCTGCCCTGGCTCAGTCCTGGCTGTTGCGGCCATGAGGGGAGTGAACCAGCAGATGGAAGACCTCTCTCTGTGTCCTTCTGCCTTTCAAATAAATAAATACATCTTTTTTTTTTTTTTAGTAGAAGTCACAACAAAGAGAAAAGGTCCCAGATAAAGTGAATTAATTTACTACTTAGCGTATAATGAAGAGAAATCCCCCAAATTTTCAGCAGACTTTTTTTTCCAAGGTGGAACTTTCTCAGCAAAAACTGCCAAGTGACATCACCCCCTCCCCCTCTCCAGAACTCTTGTGCCTCCCCCCACATGAGAACCTCCAGTAGAGATCAGATGTGACGGTGGCGCAGAACAGGGCTGCACACGGGACCAGGAACGACTTGGAATTCCCAGTTCTACTGCACCTGCCACGGATTACAGCGGGGACACAGAAGATCGTGAACCACCCCTCTTCACGGGAGATGCTCTGAGACAGTAACAAAGGAAAGACAAGTGGGTCGGAGACCCTCTCGGACTTCCAGGGGACACACAGCAGACCTGACTGTAAGGAGACGTGTGCCTGGGCCGTGGCCTTCCTGGACAGCATTCTGCCTCTCTCTGAGTACTTACTGACACAGCTCATAAGGCAATGGATAAAAATTAAGTTACAAAAACAAAATTTATTGCAAATTATACCACATGCAAGAACAAGTCCTTAAAATATTCTGACACCAGGAAAAGAGAAATTGCCTAAATGTAGCACCTACTGTCTACTAGATGCAGTGGTTCAGTGCTATCTGACCTGAAATTGGGAAGGCATAGTACAGAAAGCTCTTTCTGGGGCTGGCACTGTGGCTTAGTGTGTGAAGCCACTGGCTGCAGTGCTGGGATCCTGTGTGGACACCAGTTCAAGACCTGGCTGCCCAACTTCTGATTCAGCCCCCTGCTATGGCCTGGGAAAGCAGTGGAAGATGGCCTAGGGCCTTGGGCCCCTGCACCCATGTGGGAGACCTGGAAGAAGCTCCTGGCTCCTGGCTTCGGATTTGCGCAGTTCCAGCCATTGTAGTCAACTGGGGAGTGAACCAGCAGATGGAAGACCTCTCTCTCTCTGTAACTCTGAATTTCAAATAAATAAATAAATCTTTAAAAAAATAGCTCTCGCCCCATGAAATAAAAAAATAATTGAAGCCATTTTTAGATTAGATTGTGATTTCCAGTTGGGCAGTGACTAGAATGCTGTATCTGTCTCATTTTTAGGATAAAATTTAAAAATTTCATGCTTCGGAGGACCTTTGAAGTCACCTACAGTGTGTTCCTATTTCCTATACTGCATGTTTGGTGGGAATCTGTGAGAAGTGCTGCTCCAGTGTACTCCAAATTGACAGATGTCAATACAACATAATATATTCAAGGAGTATTAAATAAAGGTCCCATAAGCAAGATGGTGAAAACGTCACCCTATCAAGAATAAAAGGGAACTCCATAGTAATTCTATTACTTCCAGCACTGGTCAGACATTCGGTGAAGAATAAAATTCAGGCCTTCAAAACTAGAAGCAGATTCTTAAGAAATTAATGAGGGGCTGGTGCCATGGCACAGAGGGTTAAAGCCCTGGCCTGAGGTGCCTCATCTCACTTGGGCGCCGGTTCTAGTCCCAGTTGCTACTCTTCTGATCCAGCTCTCTGCTGTGGCCTAAGAAAGCAGTAGAAGATGGCCCAAGTCCTTGGGCCCCTGCACCCATGTGGAAGACCCGGAAGAAGCTCCTGGCTTTGGATCAGCGCAGCTCTGGCTATTGCGTCCAACAGGGGAGTGAACCAGTGGATGGAAGACCTCTCTTTCTCTCCTTCTCTCTCCGTGTAACTCTGCCTTTCAAATAAATAAATAAATCTTTTTTAAAAAAAAAAAGAGAGAAATTAATGAACTTGTCTTAAAAAGCTGAAAATAATTAAAAAAAAAAAAAAAACATTTGAGAGAGAGAGAGAGAGAGAACACGGAAGCTCTCTCCTATCTGCTGATTTACTCCCTAAATGCCCACAATGGCTAAGGCTGAGGCTGGGCCAGGGCTCGCTTATAGCCAAAGCCAGGACCTGGGAACTCACTCCAGGTTTCCCACGTGGGTGGCAGGAACCCAATTCCACAGGCTATCACCTCTGCCTCCCAGGGCCTGCATTAGGAAGAAGTTAGAGCTGCGAGTTGAACCCAGGTCTCAGATGGGGTTATTGGCATCTCAATTACAAGGCCCACTCAAAAAATAGAATTTTTGAACCAAAAAAAGCAGAGCTTGGATTACTAAATACATGAGAGAATTTATGATGGCCATCTCTATATTTTAGGTCCATAAAAGACAGAAAAAAATTTACAGCAAGGCACAAGGAATTTAAATTCATCAACATCATCAAAAAAATACTGACCTATCTCCTAATGGGGCCTATTAGTGGTTAAAAAAAAGGATATGCACATAGCTCATGCCTCTCAGGGGTTCACTAGATACATAATTCCTTAAAATCACATTTGAAACAGCACCATGTGATCCTCGAAACACAGAGCAGAGTTTGTTTCTCTCCGTGAGCAGGTGCTAGGGCAGGGCCACAGGCAGGTGTGATGGCTGCTGCCAACCCACGGCGCAGTACATGGACTTGGTGCTTCGTCTCCCTGCGCATCCCGAGCAATCCAGACAGAGCAGCAGGTCACAGCGATGACTCTAGGGGGACGGCCAGCTTTGAAAGAGATCTGGCTTGTCACTCAGCTCCGCACTCATGTTACACTAGGTCCTCTTTAACATCAAGGACCAGGGGCAGCGGAGGAAACTGAATTTTAACATCTTTTCATACTGCACCATTCAAGCCTGAAGAGACAGACTGTTTTCCCGAAGAACGCACAGGGTCACGACATCAGCAGTATCCTCAGACGGCAGCTCTCAGGCCCCTGCCAACACCTGCGGCCACTGCTTCCCCTCGAGCGCGCACTTCATGGCATCTGTCAGGAAGACGCCAGCCCCTGCCTGCTGCCTTCCCGTCACTGCCTCAGAACCCGCAGCCCTTCACGGCAGCTGTACCGCACAGTGATCAGCTCCTTAGTGAGCCTGCCAGACTCTCGCATCACAGGGCTTCTGTGGAAACGATGCCCGTGTGCCATCTGCTGCCTCAGGAGTGGCGGGTGCTGCAGTGTGTTTGCTGTGCAGACACAAGGTAAGCCAGATGCAAACACACTGGCCCGTCTGGGATCATTCATGCCACGAGGAAGGGGAAGCCAAGACACACACCACATCAGGAAATCCTCTGCGAGACAAGACGCGGTGCCGACAAGCAGATCAGCAGGAGGGTTAAGGAGGGACCTCAAACACACTCCATCAGGCCCAGACAAGGTCACCGCAGAGCAGAGCCATCACTAGGCTCTGGATGTCCAACACCCGCCAGGAAGGCAAATGTGTCAGGGCTGGGTGTGTACCTTTCAGCCCTGAGCGGATGACAGTGGGAGACAAGTCGTCGTAGCTGTTCATCAGGCTGATGTCTCCCGAGCTGAAGCTGACGGTGAGCAGAGGCTTCATGTTCTGCACTGGGATGGGGTGCGCTGCGGGGCCGTCTGCAGAAACAAACACAGGTGCCGTGTGACAAGGAGGCGGCCAGCACCCGCCCAGGCCCAGGTTCCAACAGCGCAACCTCGCCTGGTCCCTTAAAATGTGCCTGGTAAAGCAGCTCCGAATCTGGACTGGACATGGCCTAATCAGGAAGCAGTCTCCACCCTCAGCAGGGCGCCAACAGAGAAGCCCAGGATGGGCAGCACAGCGGGAGACGCACCGCCCGAGGCAGCTGCAGGTGGCGGCTTTGTGTGAGAGGTTGGGAACTTGTGCCTTCACACGTTTTGTGTTTCTAATGATGTACAATAGATGAAAATTATTTTAATGTCATATAAAATACAAGGGTCATGGGAAGAGGGACAAAACTGTTTCCTTCATTCCGATCCAACCTGCAGAAAAAAGGTGCTTTTCAGTAGTGAATGCTCCTCCACTGCCTGCTGGAGAAGGGCGCATTCCTTCCTTGTCACATTCCTGCTGCACAGACCTTAGCCACGGCCAAGGAGGCAGGGCTCATAACTGCATCGTGTGCCACGGTGACTAACTTGCTTTCCAAGTTCTGTGCTCGCCCAGATGTCATGGAAGAGGCCGTGGAGGACCACAGACTGGCTCTGCCACGTACGGTCTGGAACAGCCGGTGCCTCCTCCATGCCTGGGAGCCTGGGCCCTTGCAGAGGCAGCAGGAGTCCTCACAGCCGCCAGGTGGGCCTGCCTGACACTTGCCGGCACAGGCACCCCAGGACTGTTCTCCACTGCTTCACGGTCAAGTCCTGTTCTGTACTTAGCTCCATGCTCAAGTCCCCTAGGCCATCACAAAAAGGATCCATTACATCTGAAGGGGAGAGGCCGACTACCCTCTAACCTGCCCTAGTGCTTCTGAGAAGGGGATGGAGCTCTGTTCCAAGACCTACTCGAGACTTGCTTTATAAACGTGGCCTCTAGACCTTTCTCCTCCAGTGACGGATGGGGATGAGTCCATTCGGACTCAACACACCTGAAAGGACCTCTCTGTTAAAAGTCCACTGAGTCTGTGCTACGCAGGCATGGACCTCATCAGCACCAGGCTGTCGAAACATGGCCAGAATCTCCCCAAGCTAGCGCCCTACTAGGGGAGGGATAATTTCCTCCCAGGTGGATTTATGGAGGTAGTAACACTCCCTCCCGAGACCCACTGCCTCTGAAGCACCACAATCTTAGTTTTCCTCAGGTGAGCAACACTTTCTAGACACACACACACACACACATACATACACACGTCCCGGAAGTGCAAACACCCTGTCACTGTAGCAGAAGGGAGTCTCAGCAGAGGCAGCCGCTGCTGGGGTAGAGCGCTTTAACTTTTCCCCGGACTCGCCCTTCCTAAGACTACATGCACCACGGACGGCGGCAGGAGCGGGAGGAACCTCCCGTGGAGGGCCTGTCTCTGTAGGGCCACGCGGCAGCGTGAGCACAGCCGTGCTGGCCACAGACAGAAGCCTGCGGCAGCGAGATCCCTTCTGATCAGGTGCCACTCCCTTCCACCAGCCCATAATATATTTTTCTTCCTCCACTCTGGCAACGGTGGCATCGACGCCAAAGGTTCCTTCCCTTTTCTTTTTGTCTCCTACTCGTCTGTGGACAAAACATGCTGGGTGAGGAAGAGAACAAGAGCGTCTAACAGCGCAGCAGGGTGCGGGGGCTTCTGAACCGAGAAGGGGGAGAGTCTGCCGGCAATCAGGAGGGCAGACGGGGGCGTGGGGGCAGCCAAGGTGCCGGCCTTCACCGCAGAACTGAACATTTCCTCAGGCAACGAACGTGACCTGCTTTAATCACATTAGGGACGAGGCTACCCTGCCTAGTGAGTTACACCGCACAGACTTTTCATGCAGCTCCCTGTACTCTCCCCGGGGTCACAGGAAGAGCCCTAGGCCTGCTGTGTATCCAGCAAAGCCTGAGGCAGCGGAGCAGAGCTGGCGTCAGTAGTGACCTGGGGAGGGCGGCAGAGGCGGCGGCCACATGAACAGAGAGAGGCCAGCGGCCTGCGGTTCAGCGCCAGGACTCTTCCCGGCGAGGCAGGCCTTCCCGCTGCCTTCTTTAAACAGCTGATTCTCTGGTCCCTCTGCTCAGTGACAAGGAACGTGAGGGCCAAGGAGCCAGCTACCTTGGGGCGGCGAGTAGTCGTCTGAGTCCGTGTCACTCTCGCTGCTGTCTTCCACCAGGAAGATGGGGTAGTTCCAGGACATGCTGAGTATGCCATCTGACTCGTGCAGGAGGACGTGGGCCAGCATCCTGCCGTGGCAGTCCATGACAATCACTTGCCCGTCGGCCGTGCCAAACAGCACCTGCAACCGAGAGCAGACCCTTGACCAAGTGCGAGTGAGAGCTGGGCTCCCAGTGACTCCACTTGGCGGTGGCAGGACAGAACAGACTTAGAACTCAAGACGGAAAGCAGCCAAGGAGCTGAGGAGCGACACCCAACGCCCAACAGCAGGAACAGCTGGCTGCCGCGGCAAACGCTGCAGACCTCCTGGAGATGTGACCGACGGCAGAAAGGACACGGTGTGCTGATGGACGTTCCCAGACAAGCGCGGGAAACCACGGCTTCACCTTCCGAGGCGAGAGGAAAGGGACTGAGAGAGAAAACGCTTACTTTTCTGGAAAATGAACAAACAACAGATTCATTGCTGTGACTTTCTAAAATTTAAACGCACACGTTTCTGTTTGCCAAAGTGAGTACACTCGGCTACATACAAATGTTACTTGATCCTCCTCGGAAATGCTGATGGTCCTGCAACTGTCCTACTGTAATACTAAGGGTCTCGTGGTTTAGTCCATCGGGAATTGTAGCAACCAATAACTGAAGCAATGACATACTAAAAACATGAATTCATCCATGCCAAGCAACATGATCAAAGTTTTACATACTTAACTATCAAAATAATAGGTGTTAGTAGCTAGTACTGCCAGGTGAAGCTCGGAGGAAACAGGTACCGGCACCACGGCTGTGGCCCTCAGCGGAGTTAGGTACCGGCACCGTGGCTATGGCCCTCAGCGGAGTTAGGTACCGGCACCGCGGCTGTGGCCCTCAGCGGAGTTAGGTACCGGCACCGTGGCTATGGCCCTCAGCGGAGTTAGGTACCGGCACCGCGGCTGTGGCCCTCAGCGGAGTTAGGTACCGGCACCGTGGCTATGGCCCTCAGCAGAGTTAGGTACCGGCACCGCTGGTGTGGACCTCAGCGGAGTTAGGTACCGGCACCGCGGCTGTGGTCCTCAGCGGAGTTAGGTACCGGCACTGCTGGTGTGGACCTCAATGAGTTTAAACCAGGCTGGCTGACGAAGAAGGCTGAAGCTTATGCAGAGGGAGAGTTACTTCAGACTTAGTCCTTGCTTCTCTTTGATTTTGAGATTTTTTTTTTTTTTTTTTGACAGGCAGAGTGGACAGTGAGAGAGAGAGACAGAGAGAAAGGTCTTCCTTGGCCGTTGGTTCACCCTCCAATGGCCGCTGCGGCTGGCGCACTGCGACCGGCGCACCGCGCTGATCCAATGGCGGGAGCCAGGTACTTATCCTGGTCTTAAGCTCCTTGCGGGTAGACTATGCAGGGCTCTATCCCTGGTACACAGAGAGCACTCAATGAATATTTATTGCTGAATGAATGAACTAAAGTCAGCAACAATCAAAAGGCAATCTTGGGCCATAAATGTTGATGCCTGTGATAGATTACTTGTAGACAAACATGTGTTTCACTTAGGTTGGAAAAAGGTTCATAGAATCTACAGAGCTATTTTAAGAGTAATCAGTTATACATCAAATATTCCTTTAAACATGATCTACATTGTAATTAATGAATGCTACGAAAAGACTAAACCAATTTCCCCCCAGAGACAGTGACGGATTCATTAGTGTACGCTGGTGAAAGGAGAAACAGACCAAACTACCAAGGACCCCGTGAGATTCATCTAAGTAAAAGTTGAAATTCTGGCTGTCAACAGAAAAAAAAAATAAAATAAAACGCTGGCCAGCACATCTACAAAACCCCCCCATGCGAAACAGGCACAGGGATGAGAGCCGGGGCGCGGGTCCAGCCTGCTGAAGCCCTGCAAGAGAGAGGTGTTTAACGTGCTTGGGTTGCTGAGCAGTTCCCCATGCTGCTAACTACGGAACGTGACCTGGGAAAGCTCTGACCAAGAGGCACAAATTCCAGCTTTCAGATGAAGACGGCACGTGGGAGTCCCGAGGTGACGCTGATGCGCTCGGAACCAGGCTTTTCTTTCTTTCTTTCTTTTTTTTTTTTTTGACAGGCAGAGTGGACAGTGAGAGAGAGAGACAGAGAGAAAGGTCTTCCTTTGCCGTTGGTTCACCCTCCAATGGCCGCCGCGGCCAGCGCACCGCGCTGATCCAATGGCAGGAGCCAGGAGCCAGGTGCTTTTCCTGGTCTCCCATGGGGTGCAGGGCCCAAGCACCTGGGCCATCCTCCACTGCACTCCCTGGCCACAGCAGAGAGCTGGCCTGGAAGAGGGGCAACCGGGACAGAATCCGGTGCCCCGACCGGGACTAGAACCCGGTGTGCCGGCGCCGCTACGTGGAGGATTAGCCTAGTGAGCCGCGGCGCCGGCCGAACCAGGCTTTTCTTCTCCCCAGCCATATGCTCACTGGAAAGCAGCCACTGGCTCATTTCTCACAATCTTCTATGTGTTTATTTAATTTCTGATTCCTTTGTTAGACTACAAGCTTTGAGGGCACAGGCTGTTCTTGACTAAATGTTTACTTGCACCCCAAATTCACATGCTGATGGTGTTTGGAAGCGAGGTGCCTAGGAACTGATTCGGTTCCCATGAGGTCACGAGGGCAGGCCCTCCCGGATGGGATTAGCGCCCTGGTAAGAGGAGGGGGAGACCTAAGCTTGTACTCTCTGTACCCATAAGCAGTGAGGAATGGCCATGGGAGCCACCTGCAGGCCAAGGAGGAGCCTCCCAGGAACTGAACTGGCCAGCCCTTAACCTTGGACTGCCAGCCTCCAGAACTGCAGACATCAACGTCTGATGTTCCAGCCGCCCAATCTGTGGTGTTTTGTCACGGCAGCCCGAGTTGAGACCCAAACCCTATGAGCTCACTAGTTTCTCCCCGGAACCTGTCACTGTGTCTGACACACAGCAGGAAGTGCTTGAGGGGGGAAGGCAGAGGGAGGATGGGAGGAAGGCCATGTCTGCACAGAGCTGTCATCACGTACCATGGGCATTTTTCTGAATGAGGAGATAAGGGAGCAGACATATAATTCCTGAACAAAGAACTGGTGCTATAATGAGTTATCAGCATTCAGCATCACATTAGAGCAAATCAGCCCCCAAACCCCACCATCAACCCTTTCAGCTCTAGCTCCCAGGGAAGACTAAGCCACCATGGAGATGGATAAAAGGGAAGGAGGCACTAACGCACTGTCAAGCTATGATGGAGAGGTCACTCGCATTTGGAACAAGTACGTCAGAGACGACTGAAGAACGCTGATAAAACAGAATCAGATTGTAAAACATCTTCACCGTTACAAGTTCTTTCCATGCTTAATCACTTCCAAGGAGATAAGGCCGTGTGAGCAAGGCCCTCAGCAGAACAAGACAGAGTCTGATGATACTGAATACACGCCTGACAGGGACATCCGTCTCTGCTGCTTCTGCTCCCAATCGTGGCCAAGTAACAGACGTTCCACAGGGCTCCTTCTCAGGCAAGGCGTCTTCCTGTCATGCTCCTCAGGGCTGGCCCCAGGCCCACTTCTCTCAAGGAGATCACAAGCGCACGGTCGGCCTCAGGAACCCATCACAGCTGACTCCCCGCCAGGCTCCCTCCTGAGCCCCAGACTCCCACACACCTACTGCCTACCCACCATCTCCCCCACAGGCCCTTCCAAGTCCACAGTCCACAGTCAGATGCCCGGCTGCATCCTTCCCCCAAGAAACACAGACAACCAGGTTCTTCCAGCAAAGACGGCTCGTGTTTCATCGCCACCGCCCGGCACTGCATCATGTACATTACAGGTGCTCAGATGTCGCCAGAGGCTTGCAGGACCCACCACAAAGGATCACACGGTCCTCACTGTGCCGTGAGCCTGGCTTCCGGTAAACCACAGCGACTCAAGCACAGGTCTGCACCTGAGGCTCTCAGATGGTGTCCATGAGTGGTTGCTCAGTGATGTTAATAAACGAATGCCTCATCTTTGGTCTTTCCCCAAGTTTTCCTACAAATGAAGGAGCAACTTTTTCTTTATAAGATTTATTTATTTGAAAGGTAGAGAGAGACAGAGAGACAGACAGACAGAATATATCTTTCATCTACTGGTTCACTTCCTAAATGGCCACAATGGCAGGGCTGGACCAGGCCAAAGCCAGGAGCCTGGAACTCCATCTGGGTCTCCCCCATGGGTGGCAGGGGCCCAAGTACTTGGGCCATCTTCTGCTATTCTCCCTGGTGCATTAGCAGGGAGCTGGATGGGAAGTGGAGCAGCTGGAACTTGAACCGGCACTCATATGGGATGCGGGCACTGCAGGTGTAGCTTAACCTGCTATGCCAAAACACCAGCCCCTAGGAGCCACCTCTTTCCTTTCTTCTTTAAACCAGACACCAATGCTTATAAAACTGGCACTCTAAACACTTTCAACAATGGATTACACATGTTTCATAAGTTGCACTGCTGTTTCCTCTGGTGGGCTGCAGGCTCCACTCAAGAGCAGTGACAAAGCTCCCGGTGTCACGTGTACATCAGGATCACAGACCTGGGAGTCCGGTCGGAGCAGTTTAATGGCTCTCCGTGGTTTCAGTTCACATTCTAGCCTTGAATTCATTGAGTGCAGGGTTTTTTTTTTTTTTTTTTTTAACATTTATTTATTTGAGGCCGGCGCCGCGGCTCACTAGGCTAATCCTCCGCCTTGCGGCACCGCCACACCAGGTTCTAGTCCCACTCGGGGCGCCGGATTCTGTCCCGGTTGCCCCTCTTCCAGGCCAGCTCTCTGCTGTGGTCAGGGAGTGCAGTGGAGGATGACCCAAGTCCTTGGGCCCTGCACCCCATGGGAGACCAGGATAAGTACCTGGCTCCTGCCAACAGAGCAGCGCGCCGGCCACGGCAGCCATTGGAGGGTGAACCAACGGCAAAAGGAAGACCTTTCTCTCTGTCCCTCTCTCTCACTGTCCACTCTGCCTGTCAAAAAAAAAAAAAGATTTATTTATTTGAAAGTCAAAGTGAGAGAGAGAGAGAGAGAGAGAGAAGGAAGGAAGGAAGGAGGGAGGGAGGGAGGGAGGGGTGGGAGGGGGGAGGAGGGAGAAAGAGAAAGAGAAAGAGAAAGAGAGAAAGAGAGA